AACTTAAAAACCTCCTTAATTACTTTTCAAGAACCTTTAATATACATGTTCTTAGATAATTTTTTTTTTATTCATCATTTTAGTTAAACCAAATTGTATTTTTTTTTATTATTCTGAATATCTGATAACCAAATTGTTTATGTACAATAGAAATTGTTGAACTTTTTGCAAGTGATAACAATTGTCGCGTTTCTTACATAGAAATGTTATAGTGATTCTTTTGTACAAATCTTGAACAAGAAACAATAAGGTGACGAAATTTGTTACAAAGCTTTTGGACTAAACTTTAGTTTTAGAGAAATAGTCTCATTTGTTGTATCACATTAATTTTTATCATATTACCTCAAAGAACCGATCTAGAGCTAAAAATCAAATTAATTTTAAAGATAAAAAAAGTGTTAATCTTTTCCCATTTCTATTTGTAACACTCCGTTCATCTAATTTTCTCAAATAAAGAACAATAAGATCTTACGTTAACAGAAGGTATGAAGATTGGTTTATAACATTGTGAAACTATGTGTATGTGTTTATAGACCTCTTTTGACATCTAGTTTAACCTCAACAACAAACATGACTTCATTCGTTTGGTTTTTCTTTCGAAAACTCTCTTCAAACTTTCTTAAAGATTCGGATTCCCTATGTTTTTCTTCTTTCTCGCTGACTGAACTCGTTGAATATTGTACATGCTTTATGTGCAAGACGTATGGTGTATGTATGACATCTCAAGCGATGCTACATGTTCACACGGAGATTACTTAGGACCACGGTGAAGACTTGGGCCAGTTTCCAAGGAAACGTAGGTCCTAGGAGAGTTGTTGTCACCTGTTCAGCCTCTTTAAGTGTCCTTGTGGTCGAATATGCCAGAGCCAAAGCGGCCTCACGCTCCATATAAAGACCTACAACAACACTCCACAATTCCCAGCATTCGTTCCAAGGAAACGTAGGTCCTAGAGAGTTGTTGTCACCTGTTTTAATTTTGGTTTTGTTTTCAAATTCAACCTCTTCCTTAAACCCTAAATGTCCACAAACACTATCACTAAAGTGTGCGTGCGATTGATTGATTCGTTGTCACTGTCTGTAATCTCATTCAGTTTCTGGTGTTTTGTTGTGCTTTCGTCCTCTCATTTCATCGATTGTGTTGAAGTTTTGTGGATCCAACTCTGTTTTTCTTTTATTAGAATCGGATACCTTTTTTACAACACAACACACATACATACTTCATAGTAGTTTCTCTACTTGTTACACACTTCTAACTTAAACTAGTTCTCCTAGTCCATACCTCTACAAACTAGACTAGTTTTACAAGCAAGGTTCTTACACAACTTCTCCAACAACTCTTAACCACTCTAACTTGACTTAGTTGGCTTCTAACTAAAACAACATCAACTATGTGTAACTTCTTGTTACACAAACCGAACTTGTCTTTGACTTCTTGTTTCTTCTTCTCGTTGATTTTACCTCCGCTCCATGATGTAATCAAAAGTTCAATTTCCAACACTCCCTCTTGAACCTTTTGATTAAATTCTCCAGCATCCATCTAGGGACTTGATTCCCATCCTCCTTGTTCTTCTCTTGTGATTCTTATCTCCCTCTTGATAAGAATCTCAAAAACGATTTCTACATGTGCGGGTTTCTTTGCCATCTCTTGACAGATTTTCTTCACAGATTTCCTCTGTTTTGTGAGCTTTTCCTCACTTCTCCACCAGCTGCGTCTAAAACCAGATGCTGCTCCTTCGTTGCTTGGTGTCTTCCATGATCACCAACTTCCTTGCAGGAAATACTTGGACTCTTGTGTTCTCTTCTCTTTCCCGCGAGCCTTCTCCATGTCTCCTCCAAGTCTTTAGCTTCTGCTTCCTTTCACTCTTAGGTAAGCAGG